GCAGGGAACCATGCAGATAGGTGGGGACTTTCGCACTTAGAACCTCCTGAATCACAACTTACACTGATAGAATCTTCCCAGATTGGAGTGCCAACATGTGTCTTGATAAGGGTTTGATAGACCAGATTAGGTATGTCTTATCCTTAACCATCATTCCCCGAACTTTTTGAGCCAAACGGTCAGATTCACCAGGCATATATATCTATACATAAGGTTTCAACCTGACATTCAGGAGCTATAGAACCGTTGGCACCACTATATATATATATATATATATACATATTGCTCATAAGGATATGTCATATAGATATTCTACCATCACTAGTATATATATATATATAGCTATGGAAAATCTAATTTTTAGTGGGTAAATCAACTATAAATGGTCATGTTCAATAGCTATCAAAATAAACAGGTTTGTGCTCCGATCTCAAAGGATAGTGGTCAAAGCTTGAGTTCATATATTGTCAAAATATGTAGACGTTATATAACTGATCTTGATATTATTTAAAATCATGATGATTTTCAGAGGTTCTAAGTGCGAATCTCCCCAACTATCTACATGGTTATAAACATATGTAGATGTTAACTCATATCATTGAAGATACTCATGATTGTGAGAGGTTCTAAGTGCGAGTCTCCCCAACTATCTACATGGTTATAAACATATGTAGATGTTAACTCATATCATTAAAGATACTCATGACATAGGCAGAGGTTCTAAGTGCAAGGTTTTTTAGGTTCTAAGTGCGATTTGCTCGTGAGTCGATTTTTTTTGGAAATTTTCCAAAATTGGTTCTAAGCATTTGTCCGGCGCTATAAATGCTTGACTGCCGTGATCTAGAAGCCCAACCAGCCACGTGCTCCCAGAATAGTTTCCTTTTCCTAGCTTGCGCCGCTTTTTCATAGTTCACCAAATGGGCCAGGGCACTGGATACCGTATCCAGGCCCAGCTTGGAACAAGGGTGAGATATGACCCGTGGAATTTGCAGACTGAAGTCAAGGATGATATTATTTGCCAAATAGTTGTCGGATACTGTTGGGAGTTCTTTGACTCAGGGTCTCTTTGTTGGATAAGCCTCTTTATGTATTTTTTGCTAAAAACTTGTAGAATCTATGGATAGTTTTTTCCCCATTGGCCGTTTGATCCACTTGCTTGTCGTTGATCCCGACACAGAAGCCCGTACCCAGTCTGTGTGGTCCCTCGGCCCTGCCTGTATCCTGGATCTGTGATCTTAGGCCACCCTCCTTGAGCGAGAAGACCCCGGATGTCCTTCCAATGGCCAGCAAGCATATGGGTTCCCATATGGAAGCATGATCAAACCATGGATTGGATTCCATTGCATCCAGGGCTAGCCGAATTTTCTGACTCCGCTGCACGAAAACGATGCTCCGCTTGAGACATCTTGAGGCTGCTTGAACTGTGTCCTCCCAAACCTCTGGAGTAACAAGGTCCTGCATTGTCTTGCAGCAGCTGCTTGTCGCACGGGCCCCTCTCTTAGACATCTATGGCTACAAGTACCTTGAATATAGTCGTGATCATGTCAACTTAAAACATGTTTGCCGATGTCAAATTGCCATTCCATACAGTACCTACTTTGGGACGAAATGCGGTGAGAAACTATTTGGCGCCCCGGTCTGGAAGAGCGAATCCTTCTGGGATCAGTTTCCATTTATGGGCTCCCACAAAATCAATCACGAGCTTATCGCCCATTGCAGCTTTTCAAAATCCCCCAAAGGATCCATGATCTTGCCGATTCCTGAGCATTGGATACTCCAGATCCTTCGGATTTCCTTCTTCTTGTTCCTGGATAAAGCCGCGAAAGTTCTGCGGTGGCTCTTCTAGAACAGCGCGGAAGTTCATCCTGCACAACATGAAAATGTGGCAGTGCCATCATGAAACGGAAAAAAACAACAACACTTGTTAGATGAAACCTTAAGGCATCCTGAAATATGCTGAGCATAAAGCGATGACCAACCATCCAATGACCTGCTTTAATTCTCTTGAAACTCCAGCCTTTTGCAGCCTGGTGGGTCCAAATAGACCCCGGGTGTTGAGTCGATGAGACTGACCTGGGCCACAACTTGCAATCTTCAACTTGGGCCCACTGCGGGTGGTCTGTGTCAAATGTCCTCCAAACTCTTGCTCTCTTGCTTGTCTAAAGCGGAGCTGAACATGTTTCTCCCCCAAAAAATATATTGCCCGCTTTCTTGGCTTTCCCTCCCTCTACGATTGCCTACGCACTTTTTTTTAATTTTTGCCTTTCCTTTCCTTGGCCTACTTTCTTTGCAAGAACTTGGGGGAAACACGCCCATGATTACACACAAGGATCAAACCACAGGAGGCCTTTTTTTTGGGGTGTGTGGATGGCACTTGCGGCTTGGCCTCCAACATGCACCAATGCTTGACGAGTCACAAGTTGCTGTTGTGTCAGCTTCACTCCAGTCAGGAGCTGCCAATACCTGAGCTCGCAGAAACCAACGTTGGCCAAAGGATGCGCGCATGCTTGAAAACTGCAACAAAATCAGGGTATACCTCCTTCACTTGATGCTCCTCATCCTCCTCCTCCTCCCCTCGTCCTCATAATCATAATCATCATCATCATCATCACCATCCTCATCATCCTCCTCATCCTCCTCATCCTCCTCATCCTCCTCATCCTCATCCTCCTCATCCTCCTCATCCTCATCCTCCTCATCCTCCTCATCCTCATCCTCCTCATCCTCCTCATCCTCCTCATCCTCCTCATCCTCCTCCTCCTCATCCTCCTCCTCCTCCTCCTCATCATCATCATCATCTCACAAAGAGCACACACACACACACACGCGCGCTGGTCACTCAATGTCACACAAACGATTGCCGGACGAACCCCCAGAGTGCAAAGTCCAAGCTTCCACTGCAGCACACCTCCGCGTGGGATCGCTTCGTCTACATAGAGTGAACAAACGATCCATCGCATGAGGCCCTGCGTTTTGCCAGGGCCCCTTGACACATCCAGGACATGCGATTGAACCAACTACGTAGGATCGGAATATCTCTAAAAGAACGGTTAAAACAATACCATACAAAACACTTGAGCCGCAGTCTACATCAGTTGTTTACGCCTGGTGCGAAACTGTGGGTTATCGCTTTTGCTTTTTTGGGTGGCTTATCGCTTTACACTGTGTTGGTCAAATCAAAATTGCAGCGAATTTGCTTTTCATCAACGATTTCCAAAAGCAGCGTCATCAAAGATTTCCAAAATCTGGTGTTCTTTGTTTTTTGTAAGTTGTCAATGGGATCAAATGAGTCTATCCCTTATTGAATTCCGAATTCAATGGCATTTAGATTTCAAAAAACTAATTCACAATTAAAGGAAAAAGGAAGGAAATAATTAATTGAATGTTCTTCATCAAATTTGCACTTTGCGCGAATGTACACCATGCAAGTCTTGCATTTTATGGAAACATGAAGTCAGACAAGTTCAAGGACAAGTGTTTGAACCTCGTTCCGTACAAGAGAACATGTGCATGAAGGAACACGATTTTACGCTTCCAATAACAAAGACTTTCACACAAACGCAAGAGCAAACAACCAAGAAAGCTTTTCACCAAATTTAAGTTCGGGATGCATTGCGTATACTCAAAAGCAGCAACTAGAGAAATCTTTTCAAATGCACGGAAGCGGCGCCTGCGGAGTCAAGGCATCATCTTCAGCCATGTTGGAAAATAAATCAAGCTAAGCTTGTAGTAATGTGAGAGATGCTACCAAACGCTATTGAAGTATCTTCCAGTGCCGATTTGCGTGCTGTTGCCAAATCTCTTGCGCGTATAAATTTTGGGTTCCCCGGTCCATATGAAGAGATCACGAGGTGCTATGTATGGCACTGAAGTTTCTAGCATGAATGTGTTGATCCTAACGTCAGATGAATTCTGATTTTGTGGCCCTTTTCAAGTCTCGTGTGGCAAGTATCCTGGGCCCATCTGGGCCCTGCATCTTGAATGGCAGCAGGACCAACGTGTCATCTTGAACATTTTGAGTAGGGTCAGGCATTTCTGTATCACGTTGATTTCTGCCCGTGAGATAACATGAGAAGCTACCACTGAATCACCTTGGGAAAGAATATGAAGTGCCCATGGCCATGAACATAGCAGGAAATCCTGAGATTGCAGTGTCACTTGACAAACTGATTACAGTATCCAGATTCGGAGGTGCACATCATGGACTCAGCCACCATTTTGGCGGAGCTTGCTCGCCGTGCTGGCTTGGCCAAGAAAGGCGTCCCCCCCATCAGTCCTTCAAAGACAAACAACAGACTTTCATAATCTTTGCATAAGTTTTCCCCCGTCATAAAAATGAACGACCCAATTGCTCTCCATGACATGTTTGGAGTCGAGCTGACAACTTGATCCAAATATCCACGGGGGCTTGTGCAAAGGATTGCAAAAAGGCATACCCAAAGTCTCAATTCCAGGTTGAATATCGCTTGCCATTGGCTTGTCCCACAGTGACCCTTGCAATGCAAAATGGCAATGCAAAAGGCAAAAGCAACACAGTGTGTCACAGTCCTGCATTGGTCTCCTCAAGCAACACCCGCCTCATGAACATGCGGTGTGAACAACCTCGCTGTCAGTCCCTAAACTCATTTTTCCAGGAAGGTGTAAAAAAACATGCATAAACTGCGAACAATTCTCTCACATAGAACTCTCATAAATTCTCTCCAAAAACAAGCTATGCATTCCAGCTTTAGAATGTTTGGCGCGACTCCACAAGGTAGCGAAGGAAATTACAGCAACCACTGCTGCAAACTGCGGCGGGTGGAAAGTGGAAACTCTGCTCAAGCTGATTGCTGTTGTGTGGCAGTGGGTCCGCACAGCAATCTTACCTAAGAAATCCTTAAAAGGTAGACAGCACCAAACAAATCCGTGTTGCACGAACAAGGCGGGCTTGGAATTGCTTGCAGGCATGATTGATATTGATTGATCATGCATGGAAAGGATTGCAAGGGTAGTGCTAAGATTCATTCGGGTGAGCGCCGCCTGGTGTACATCACAACCTCCGTGTCGTCAAGGCCCTTCAGGGATGTTCTGGGTGGCTCTGAGGACTGCAGTGGTGGTGCCTCAAAATTGACAGTGCCACAGGACTCATTGGATCACATTGGATCACCAATATATTCAATATGAAGAATATGATGATGAGAATATAGTGGAGTGCGACACAGGTGATGAAGATGCAGGTCTGGCTAAATGGTGCACGAGGTTCGCTTCACTTTCTTTAAATTTGGCATGTTGATTCACCCACAAGGCATGACCGGCATGACTTTGCTCGCCCAAAGCACAACCGATCACGCTAAAATCCCCAGCCGGTGTGTGCCAGGGCTGCACCAATACACGCATCGAGAACTTTTAAGTGCTGACTTCCTTACACTTACAGTCTTGGCATATCTTGGTGTATTGTGACCCACTTTGCTTTGAAGTTGCCCAATATCTCGAAAAAGGACAATAAAGAGGAGAAGACGAGAGACGGAAACTATCTATTTTGTAAAAGCAAGTGGCTCTCCAGCGCTTCCAGGTAGGCAAGATCGCCTTTGGGCTGCCATTGGACGGCAACAAAAGCTGAGACTATGATTCTGCGGCCATGCAGGATAATCAATCAAGCCCATGCAACAAATGGGTAAAGATAGAAGGCAATGGGTGAAAACGGGTGAACATCGGTGCATTCTCAGTCTAAGATGTCTAAGAAAATGCAATACTGCTGCAATTTCAGCTATGCTTCACCGTGGTATATGACTGTTCTCGAGAACTTCCCCCTGCTTGGTCCAGTCACTACAACAATGAAGATAATGAAGCCCTTTGGGGAGAGCCATCACTTGAAGAAGGGAAAAGGAAACCGCTTGGAAAATGGGCACTATGCGGTTTGAGTGCTTTGGATGCTTGTCTTGGCTTCTTGGTTCGTGGCACTTCTGACCTCTGAACTCTTTGACCTTGCGCCAGGTGGGACATCGGTCCCAGGCTTCTGAACATGAATCTGATTTCTGGCGTGCCCTTGCCAATTTGGTCTCCATATACAGCAAGACCTAAGGAAAACGGCGCTACAATGCGCTACACATGAGGCCCTGGAGTATCAAATGAATTCAATTATATAATTACAAATGCACGAAATAAGTGTAAGAAAAAGTGTAAGAAAAGTGTTGCTCCGAAGATTTCATGGCCTGCGAGAGCGGCTGGAGATACTTGGCACCTAGCTTTGCAACGTCAAGTCTTGTCAGTGTGACTTGAGAATGCCTGATGAGCTGCGGCTCAGAAACCGTTAAAGATCGTTAAAGGATGCGAGGGTTCGAAAAATAGAAGAACATAGAAAAACTATATTATTTATCATTCTTTGTGGTATTGCCAGCTGCTACAAGAATGACATGTACAAAATTTTACAAAGAGTGGTGTTTGAGATCAGCCCTTTGAGAGTCGCCCACCAAACATGCGTCAATCACACAATGGGCCAAACTCTTTGCATCTGCTTCTGCTCATTTCTACATATTTCTGCTCTCTTTATTCTGCTCATATACCGATCATTATGCACCTCGTTCTGTTCCTCGGCCAGTACTCTCCTGCAAAAATCTGCAGAATGTACTGGTATGGTTTGATCTTCCATGTGCTTCTCATCCATCCCTCGGAAAGCCTCCTCCAAAATGTTGGCGACGTGGTAGGGCTGGGAGCCCTGACTCAAAATGGTGAAGAAAGTGTCAAGATCAACTTATGCCACACCACTGCTAAGATGTCAAGAATGAACATGAATAAGGATAATTTGAGAAGTACGATCTGAGAAACATGATCATTTTTGTTTGAAACTTGAAACTTGCATGCAAACAAAGGCCTCTCCCTTAAAGGTCTGGAGATGCCATGGGAAGCACCTCAGCACTGCATGGAGGAGGAAACGTGCGTAAACGTCATGATGGAAACGACAAGGACCGACAAGGGCTGGCTGGACGCTAGGACGGACAGAAAGGCCATTGATACATTTTGGTGCAAATCAGGACCAAGAAAGTGCTCACTGATTCTGGCTAGCCTGATCAGAGAGTATAGGGATGAAATCATCCAAGTTTGCAAGCATGAGGTTCTACAGCAAGTGGGTGAAGTGATAGAATGCCGTAAACTTCCTTGACTTCAATGCTCCAGCTTTGACCAATGGTTCAGTTATTCATGTTGAAGAAGTGCTGAGCTTTGCCAAGTCTGAGTGTCCTGCTCGAGCCCACCGGGCTACTACACTCAGAGCCACAGGTTGTATTGCTAGTGCCAGGCCTGCAAGTAGCCATAAGTAGCCCCAGCCAAGCACAATTTCCAAGAAATCATGTGGAGCTGAGCTCAATGGCACATCACTGTCAAATACAAAGTCAAATACAAAGTCAAATGCTGTCACTGAGTCGACTTTGCTCGTCCAAATTTCAAACTGGAGAGGTAAAACAGCCGACCAGCCTGGAATGCATCCCGCGCAGCCGTGGCGTCTGAATTGCTGCCTGATCATTTCCACTCCACGCTACTCCCCATGAAACCGAACAAAAGGAGCCATGTAGATTTACAGTAGAGAGATTGAGACAGAGGGAGAGAGACAAAGAACAAGCAAAGATACCACAACTTTATACAAGTTTAATTGCGTGCCATACTCTGCCATTTTTCGAAAATTATATAACAGGTGCAAGCCTGTCGTAGGTCATAGGTCAAAGTGCCAGCTGGCAAGAACAAAGCGTCTCAAATTTGCCTTGAGTTTTGCCGGAAGACCGGGGACTTCCTCAGTTCGAACAACGATTCGCCGTGGAGAGGCAAAACACATGAAACTTGAGGCCGGGGGTGGATGACAGCTAGCGGGGTAGGAGAAAGAAGGAAGGGAAGAGGTGAGTTGCGGAGGGACTGTCATCATCGTGTCGCGGCATTGTTCGTCCCAACGAGGATGCAACAATGATATATGATATATGATATATAACAATGATATATTATATATATGGGGGAGGGGGCAGGGGGGGGGCCCTTTCGCGGGAAAAATAATTGGAAAAATCACGTGATGTCCTTGGGGAGCCCCGGAATACTTGCTAAAGTAAGAAGACTCTAGCGAGCTGACGCTAGCTTTAGTGATAATGCCAATAATTGCCAATAATGATAACATGTAATTGAATAACGATGATGATGATGATGATGATGATGATGATGATGATTATGATGATGATGATGATGATGATGATTGATGATTGATGAATGATGAATGATGAATGATGATGCATGATGCATGATGCATGATGCATGATGCATGATGCATGATGAATGATGAATGATGAATGATGATGCATGATGCATGATGAATGATGAATGATGATGAAATAAAGGGTTGTTTAGTTTACATAGGAAAACTTAGACTTGACCTCGTGATGGGTCTCACGAGATGGTCCCTGCCGCCTCTGAAAGCCTTCCAGTCCAAATGTGTGTCCTACCAGTAGTAACTCCGAGCATCTGGTAGTACAGTAACTCCTAATATATCATAATATATCCTGTGTCCTATATAGATCTACTACACGCACATTATATAATATAGGTGATTGATTGCTGAAACCCACTCCGGTCGGCTCAGACAGGCAACCCCTGCAGCTCTCACAGAACGATACAAGCGCAAAGGCCCAGGCGGCCTCTACAAGAGAACATCCACAATCAATCTCTCTCTCTCTCTCTCCACTGGATTCTGCAACACAAAATTGACGGGTTTGCTGATTTTTGATGTCCCGTCAAATTGAGAGAGGCGTCCCACGTGCACCACGCCTTACCATGGGCTCCTGGTGGATGTACACACCGCACTTCTTAACTTCTTCAGCGGCTCGTGCGCAGAAGTCCTGTTTGGAAGCAACATGCTTTGTGTCTTTGTTTGTGTCATGCAATATCTGAGTCAATGAGGCGAAATCAAAGAGCTGGCGTAAGCTCCTTGTACTTCCAAGGTGATTCAATGTGCTCGCGCGTCGTCAAGTCACGAACCTAACAGGCTCTGAAACCTGTTTCTTTTGAAAGGCAGGACTTGCGAATGTATTGATATCTCACGATAACCCTTATGTCGAGTCCCTTCAAACTTGTCTTCCGCAGCTCTTCGCTGTAGGGCAACGCAATCTTATCTTCTGGATGCATCAGTTTAAGCATCTTAACATCGGTGGAGCTTCGACAAAGCTTCTGCGGTCTGGAGGGGCACCTACAGTTTATTTCTGCTGCCTTTACAGCTTCCTTTGAGATCCTATGAGAAGGGGTTTCTCTATGTTTCTCTTCCGTGAGCCCAAGTTGGCTTCATGGCTTCATCCCATTTCATCCCCATACAATTTGCTTTCATGGAGCATTGTGACGCCGCTCATAATTGTAATCGTGTAATTATGGCTTGTGGATGTTGCTTGTGGGCCAACTGCCGCATTTTCCAACCAAAGATCCCGATGCAAACCTTGCAACAACTGCTCTGGACCCGACCAATTCAAGAATGACGTTGCAAACCGCAGAAGGGCTGGCAAAGGAAGAGATAAAGACAATGAACCAACATGAACCAACGTACCAAACATACATAAAAATACCAGAAGCATCCAAAAGCAGTGGACCGGCAAACAAAACAGCAGACCGAACTCAGCTGACGTCCATCGACTAGCTCCCGCAGCAACATTAGCAATCCATGGAACCTCCATGTACTTGAAAGGTATGAGACCCACAGCTTGCCGTGTTTCGCAAGTCTGAGACTAAGCCTTCCACTGTCACCTTGCGCGTTACCCCTGTCATCCCCTGTCGGCGTCAGCAGCTGCAACAGGGCCAGAAATGCTATGAACATCTATGAACCATCATATATCATCATATATCCAATCCGTTGATATCATATGTAATTAAGCAGGTGCAGGCTACTTGCCGCACATACTGCTCATATCCCATCGAAGGGTTCTGACATTCTGACCTGTTCTGAGGGCCTCCCTCAGGCATCACCCGCCATCATGGGCTATCAAACGGCCGCACTGCAGGCTTCGCCGGCTTCGCGAGCTGGGGGCTGTTTGATTTGACACCAACGCTGCAGGAATGCAAACTTTGTCCTTGCAGGCCTTTGATCAAGAATGGTTGTATGATGTATATATTGTTGTATGATATTTCATGCAGTGCATCAAAAATACAGCGTGTTGTGATATGTTGGGCATGTTGCCAAAAGCGGCATTGCGACAAAGCCTTTTGGGCGACTTTGGTACCAATGTGAGGCGATAAAGGTCAGTAATGCCTGTATCGCCTTTTTGCTTGGTCTCCGATAAGGGCTCACAGCCAACAATCAGCAATGACAAGTCAAGTCAGGAAAGTGAAATCAGTTCACTTAGTTCACTTTGCCTTTCAAAAAACCTAGCGATGAGCTTGTCCTGAATAATACGTAAGGCTGGGCACCCTGACATAGCTTTGATGAGCCAAAGCTTCTACTGAACACTAATGCAAGTGCTTGGCCAAGCTGCAAGCTCTTTCTACTTGAGCGTACTGGCATCTTAATTACAGCTTCCATCTGCTTCTAGAAATGGGGTCTGAAAATCATCACTACTTCAGAATGTTTTAGAATGTTTTAGAGCCTAGATGTTTGCAATTTTTGTGATTTATGGTTGGCGCTGTTTGATCTTGTTCACCCCCCTTGTGCATCTATGGTCCAGCTGATACCCTGGCTCGACTGGCAGCCTATCTCTCTCCATCGATTGTCATAGTGCCGCGGCTGTGAGGCTGTGAGATGCTGACTCATGTGAAGGAGGAGGAAAGTATTCCAATAATATTCCAATATATTGAATTATATTAAGGATGTATCTGATGTATCCGAAAGAAACATGAAGAAACTCAATGGGTCTTGGTCCATTTGGTGGATCTCAGTAGATCCATTCTGCCGCTAAGCTTGGCGAAGAACTGCTGGGACTATCTGGGACTCATGTACAAGGCTGGGACTAGCTTGGTGCACCGGTGAGCAATCAGGCCACGTCAGTGCCATGCCTAGGTCATGGAAACTCAGCAAGAAGAAACGCAGTGAAAAAAATGAAAAAATACCTTACTTACTTCGAGTGATCCCCACCCTGACACACTGTTCTGACATAATTAGTTTCCGACACATCATATAAAATTCATATACATGGCATATATGTACAGTATATGTATATATATATAATAATAACAATATATATATATATTCTGACATTCTTTCTGACAGGCTTTCTGACATTCTTTCTGGCATCTATTCTGGCATTCTGTTCTATTTGGCATATGTTCGGACATTCTATCTGGCAGTCTTTCTGGCATGTGCTCGGGCCCAGGCGTGCCCAGCTGCCTCCAGAGCTCGCGATCAGCTGCATCCGGAGCTGGCGATAGGGTTGAGATCCAGGCGTGCCCAAATGCAGCTGGACCTCGCGATGTGGCTCACAACAATTGAAACCCACAGTCACGACGAGCTGCAAGAGGAGCACACCAGGAGCAAAGGAGAAGAAGTAGTAGGAAGAGTAGGCGGAAGAAGAAGGAGGAGTTGCACCGATGTCAAAATCTAGAGACCCTCACCTGGCAGGTGGGGAACAAACACCAACATATTTGCAGTCCACGTCCCTCGTTGGGACAGCTAATCTCCCGACAGTATAGCATATCAAAAAGAATAATGACCAGCATCATCAGCATCTGTTTTCTCGCTCCCCTTTGTATCTACCAAACGCAAACCCATAGCATCTTACAGTATCCATCAGTGTATCCTACACAACTGCTGAATGCCTTCAGCGTTTGCAATTCACCTTGCAGGAGAGTACAGCCTATAGTACAGCTGCACCTATCGTCTCCGACGGGATCTTGACCGGGACCTACCGAGGTAAGACTGTGAGTCACTTCATGAGCACTGTCTGGTGCCGGTGGGGGTGGAACCCCTAAAACAAATAAAATAAAATGCAGGGGCCTAAGGACAAAATGCCAATAAAATGAGAGGGCACAAGGTAAGATAGGAAAACCCAAGCAAAATACAATGGACAGGTACAAAAGGAATATGACGTCAGGCCCCCTCCACCTGGCAACTGTTGGACGTCAGGCCCCGGCATTTTTTTTTGCGTTATATATTGATTTTTATATTTCCTTAGATCGTTGACAGACATTTGTACGGTATGATATGCATATAATCATTACAGTTTCAGAACTTAATTCATAATTCATCTCTAGCATTTTGTTATACATTAAGATTATATAGGATTATCGTTCTTACTCACGATCATTTCATCTTTTTTTGTCATTGTGTTTCATATTTATTTTTCACAGCTGGAAGGTTTCACAAAATGATCAGACCGTTCACAGCTGTGCATCTTTGCTATCATGCTATCTCTGTCAGTTAACTTGATGGGTTGGGCACCTCAAAAAACAAAATGCACCCACAAAATAACATGCACCCACAAAATAAAAATCCTGGGGTCTGACCCCATTTTATTTTCAGATTTGCTTGATTTTTTATTTTTTTAAGGGGCTCCTGCCCCCTTATTCTCTTTAGGTACACCAAAGGAGGCTCTTCATGTTCTGTTTCTGCGTCACATCACGATGCTGCAGCAAGGTGATGTAATTACAGTAACTGGGTGACACATCATGCCGTGATATCGTTCCGCGTCTCCATAAGCCTCCCCAGCCTATCCATCAATCATCATCATCAATACAGTACATCCTGACACAGCCCTGCCACGATTGTAGGCCAGTGCGTGCCTCGATTTGCTGGTATAGCGTTCTCGACTTCTTCCCCGCTCTCGCCCTCCACTCTTCTGCTCTCGTATGAGGTCATCAAGGTTGCCCACCGCCCTCAAACCCAGGGGTTCGACCGAGATGACCAAGGTAGCTCAACCCCAAAGCCCCAAGGAAAAAGAACTGCAAGGCATATTGAGGAGTGGGTTTTTTCCGGTAGACAGGAATTTCTTGGCCGACCCTGGAAAGAAAGTGCCGTGATATACTGAATGAAAGCACTTGTCATAGGTGGGTCGCAAGATCTGAGACTGAAACTTCAGGTGATTGAGCATTGGCCTTGGCTCAACGGTTGAACGCCCCTTACATACAGCATCGTACAGTAATCCCTTCATGGAAGGCATGCAGACCGTAGACACACAAAGTGCATCAACCTCTCGACGGCAAACATGGCTGGCCGGTAGCGATGTGAGTTGAACCTTTGTGTTTTTTACTTCGCAAGAACTTGGTCAAGGACAGGATCGCTTGGGAAGGGTTCGCAGCCCCCTTCAAGAGCTTGTCCATCTGCGCCATATCCTAGAACCAAAGACACCCAAACGAACCGGAAAGGGTATGATTGCCCAATATTGCCCAAACATGCAAAACAAATCGAGCGATGAATTGCCGCACTTCCATGCTCGCTGACTTCAAATTTGCATTGCTCAGCCTCTATCTTCTCATCTCTTGGATGAACTACTTCGACAAACTTCGCCAACGCCCTGTGGTGAACGTAGCAAAATATACAACAAAAATAAAGTTCAAACAAATCCACAAATGCATCTTGACGTGAGTCGCGTTAGTACAAGTTTCTCCTCCTATGCATCCATACGCTGGCCATCAGTCTGCTATTTCTCTTTTTTTGCTTCTTCTTGGGCCGGCCACATCTTGGCCAATCGTCGACAATGACGAGGCCTGTCATCCAACCGCCATCGATTTTTGAACTGCAGCATGGCCTGCACCAGCTGAAGCATCATTCGTGTCATTCGGCATTCTGCGATTGGACATGATTGGACTGAGGTGCTTTGATCATTGTTGTGCTACAGTTGCCTCTCATTGAAATCTCATTCTAATTTGCAGATATTTGCAGTAATATTTCGTAAGAGGCTGTTAAGAGGCTGTTAAGAGGCTGCAGTGCGTATGTTCTTTTTCAACTCCTTTTGGTTTGATGATGTTTGATGTTTTCGCGGCGCGCTGAGCTTGCTGCTTGGTCCAGCTTTGCAGCTCCAGTGAAGCAGCCTCTCCTCAGCTTTGACTGACAACCTCCATGTCTACAGTCTATAGTCATCTATAGTCTATTATATGAGTCCCAGCATGATCCAGCATGTCAAATGCCTTGCTTGCAACTCTCTAGTCTCTCTAGTGAATGTGGATGAATGATGAATGTGCAAAATAGGCAAAACAATCCAGCCTTCCAAGACTTGCTGGAATCAGGTAACATGGACATGGATGGACTGCATGGTGACTGCATGTAGCTATCAGCGGACATCACAAACAAGGTCTGCTTCTACGACAAGCGGCTCCATCTCGCCTATTTTGACCATAAGGAAACCGGAGGGCTTGCTCGCATTTTCGCAGACCTTGCAGGCACCAACCATGAAGCAACAGCTGCTTCTCACGATTTCTTACGTTGCTCCTTTGGTCAAAGCATTCACCTGTTGCCAACCCGTTGCCTCCCACAAGGCTTTCATGTCTGCGTCGAAAGTCGATTCCCGCGTGAGCAATACATCCTCGGATCCAAGTTTGTTTCCAACCCACCTCGCCAACTTGCCGTCTGTGTCTAGCCATGGCTTTAAAGCCAACTTACTAATTATATTGGAATCATTGCATCAAATCATATCAAATCGACTCAAATTGGATGAAGCAGCGAGATGACATGACTGCAATCAGTGCAAGCTATGTTTGCCGCATTAAGCCGCCGCATGATGCGTTCTTCGATGCTGAAGGTCTTGCACAGAGCTTCCACCTTCGGCAAGGCTGCAGAATTGGCACTGATGACAGAAAAAATCAGAAAAACATGGACCCAGAAGGAATGCACATGCTGACAGCAGCCGTGTCAAATGATCTACAGTGATATGTGCCCGTCAAACTGTGCCGCATACTGTGCTCTACACGATCCGAAACCGAACCCAACATCCTGAAACCCTTCAAGTTGACCGTAAAAGATTGCAACAGGATGCAAAAACGGTTGCAAATGTTGCAAGGCCATAAGGAGACCCCACCTGTGGATCGATTGGCATTTGGCCTTAGTGAGGAATTTTTTAGAAAGGCGATGAAAGGCGTCACGTAGGGTCGCTGGAGCAGTCGCAGTCCATGCATAAGAGTCACTGCATGTAATTGATTGTGCTAGTAATTGGCCATTGAGAGTTCATTGAGAGTTCATTGAGAGTTCATTGAGAGTTCATTGAGAGTTCATTGAGAGTTCATTGAGAGTTCATTGAGTCAATTTGACTCAATTTGAGTCATTGAGGCATGGGCAATGCTCAGCATTGGGTGCAAGTTTGCCCTTGCCTCTTCCTTTCCTTTTGTCCTTGGGCAAACCTCACAGACACAACGACGGGCAACTCCCAAATCTCCCTGCCTGGTCTACGACCAAAGACGACAACCAATGGAGCAATATGAGTAATATGATGAATATGAGGAATGTGATATGATATGATTACAGACATAATAATAGTAACAATAAAAATAATGATATAGTAATAATTGCATATATATATAGATACAATTAGTATAGATACCAGTATGTATAAATTATATGAGTAATCCAGGTATTTATTCCCGATGATATCAGGTCATGCATCTTCTTGCATCTTATTGCATCTTCTTGCAAACACTTGAGATGACCACTTCAAACTCAAAAGCGCGACGTGCTACACAAAACCAGCGGTCTGAAGTTGAGATGCTCTCCGCCAATTCTTCCTGAGGATTTGCCTGCAGTCGACTTGGCTGACTATCACAGGAAGCGGAAAAATTGAGCCGGTGGTTTCTTCTTTTCTTGATACTGTTGCTCTCCTCGTTGCGCTTCATTGCGCTTCTGCTGTGATTGTTTGCTGGTCCGTGTTTGGTGCGGATCCAGTTCTTGAATTTTCTTGCTTGATTGGCTGTGGAACGGTCAGTACTATGCGAGGTTTCACATCTTGCAGTTTCCATGACTCGACCGGAGCCTCTGAAGCTGTAAAGGCGGTGCCCATAGGATTCATCCTGGACAGGGCTTGTGGAAAGGTTCGACTATGTTCGACTTGGCCAACTGTACAGCAGCTTGGACAGCCATTGTACAGGAAATGTTGGGGGCGCTGGAGAGCTACAAAGGCTTGCAAGACATTGCAAGACAAGGCTGTAGGTTGGTACCGGTTGGCTTTAGGATATTTTCATGATTTTGCATGTATTTGCGCTCTTCAGCAATTTCAACAATATGCGAGCATTCTCCGTTTCAGGTTCTCATACCCTAGCCGAGGTCGCCACATCATTCCCATCATGGGATTCATCATCATCATGGGGTTCATGCCCATGGGAGACCTCATCATCGGGAGGGCCACAAACTTACATTTGTGCCATTTGCATCCATTTGCAACATGTTCTACCAACTAGCACAGCCTAGCACAGCGAAACATTTGTGAAAGTGCTACAGCAACTTCAAACCAGGCGCATGCCCATCATGCCCATCGGCTGCGCCATTGGCTGGCCCATTGGCTGGCACATTGGCTGGCCCATGGGTTGGCCCATGGGTTGGCTCATTGGCATTCCGGAACTAGGCATTGACGATGGCATGCTCATTCCCATGCCAGGCACCTTGATCTTTGAAGCGCCGTTTCCAAGTATACAAACACCATCAAACACCAAGATGAAACTAGCCAAAGGACTCAACCTTCATCGCTGTTGTCATTTTGAGTTTGCCATGAAGTGCAAGAACACTTTACAAGAAGATTTGTGTGCTAAGATCCCTACCATGCCTGGCATTCCCATGCCAGTCATAGGCATACCCATGCATCCGTTTGGCGACATGCATCCGCTCTGCATGCACCCACCTACGTCAGCAGCAAAGAGTTGTGCACACTCTAAAAGTGCTCACCTTCGGAGGTGTTGGGATGCAACTGATGCAGTATGATGCAGTGTTTTTCCATCACACGCTTGACACTGATTGGTCTTTCTGCACATCCGCCACTGTGTGCCGTCAAGAGACCATCTCCTTGCATGGCCGCGGGCTTCAGCCCGCTTTCAGCTATGGCTTGGGAGGAATGAAACACATGTGATGACATCGTGGGCAATTTTTTCGGACCCATTTCACCATTACGGCAAACGCATTTAGAGTTTGGTGTTCCAAGTTGTTGGCATGCTGTCGGCCAATGAATTGCCAATGCTGTTTTTCGAGCTTTCTCTCATCATTCTCATTTCTCCGAGTCTTGTGTGGGTATGGATTTTGCCTGCTCCGCTGTCAAAATGTTGTCATAATGTTTTGAGCGCGGTACAAGTGTCAGGAGATGTCAGGAGATGTCAGGAGATGTCAGGAGATGTCAGGAGATGTCAGGAGACTGCATGATAGATATGATAAATGATATGATAGTGCTGATCCAATCAGCTACACAGCTACGCCACTCATCAAAGCTCGTCAATTTTTTTTCGCAGCCATCGCAGCCCGAGCTGACTGCAGTCCATCGTGTCCTGCAAGAAACTGAGCATGGGCAGTGGCACCTGGTGGGTGCTATGTCAGGAAACATCAGGAAACCATGGTCACAAAATGAACATGGCCGAACTCTTAACAAGCGTTTCAATATGTTTCAATGCATTTCATTTGCAGGGCCCTCAAATGCCCTGAGCAAGGAGGGGGGAAGGTTTCTCAAACAAATGGCCGTAAATAGGATCATGTCTATCCGTATGTGGTGCACTATCCCCAGCATAAGAAGGACCCAATTTAGATTCCAGCTGAGGTAGATCTATAATATAAGTATATAGGACCTTAAGTAGAAATAAGTAGGATAAAATAGGGACAAAACATGGTAAGTAGGCCCAGTAGGCATGGGCCCCACAGACCAAGGGGTCGGCTGGAGCCGGACCTGCAGAATCTTCAAGGAGCAAACGCGCAGAAAAATTGGAAGAAACGGCCAGAACGGCCAGAACTTCTGTTTGTAGGACGGGTCCTCTAAGCAAGTCCAGCCTTTGCCAGGGCTGCATAAGCTGCCTGGATCCGCTGAAAATATTCGCTGCTACCATCGTCAGATTGTTTGTCCTTAGTTTCGTCAGCTGGCTGTTGGACCAAACATGTGCACTGCACAAAAATTCACGATATATAGTGAAAAGTGAAAAGCGTAGCTGAGCTGCAACCCATTGCATAGGCAATATTTGTTCCTAGGTCCTAGTGTGTGTTTTTCGTGGATTCCACGATGGACGCCCTGCTGGAACTTGCAGTTCAACATCAAGCTGAGAGGCTGGGTGATGTTTGAGGGCAAGCGCACCTTCGCGCAGGGTCTTGAGAGAAACAAAACAAAAACCAAACAAAGCTAACCATGTTGTTTTTTTGCATCTTACAAATTGCGCATCTGCACCTGCAAAGCGGTACGATATGCGTTAACTAAGAAATGAATGAACTTCCTTCCCAGGGAAAGACTTTTTATTCCAAACAACAATAAGTGGGTAAATTTTCACCGATCTCTTGAAACTTCTGGCCAGTCTGCATACATACCCAATTCTACAGCCATGTGCCGCTGCAATCCATTGCTGCCGTGACGCGATAGGCGCGTCTCACTTCCTCTGGGGTCGCCGCGTGACTTATGCCCAGGGTGTTGTAGTGCGGCAACACCTGCCTGGTTGATCCGGTGTCTGCCTTGGCAAGGCAGAACTTTAAGTCAAAATATGCTATATAAATCTATATAATACATTTGAACATTATGAACACTAGATGCCAAAACGATTCAAAACGTGTAGTCAAACAGCACACGTCTGCCAAACAGAGCTATTTGCAGCCGTTGGCACCGCCAACCGTGGCCGAATGTAGCCATTTGAGAAGAAGTACCTTGCACCACGTCTACTGGGTGCCAAAGGCTTGTAATTCCCACTCGAAAATGACATGACAATGACATGAACATGTCTGCAAGGCACCAGTGCCCACTGCAGGCAGGACATACCGAGTGCCTCCAATGTGGGCCCAATGCAAAGCCTTCATACCAATGCTATCAATCAGAAGGTAGCTCTTAAAGCCCCTTGTGACTTTGGATAGAACATGATAGAACGACCCATCAAACGAATTTAAGTTTAATTGAACATGTGTCTGCACCTCAGTCGGATTCTCGCAGCAGCAACTTCAATCAAAACCAAATAAACAATGATAAAACAAAGCTTTTTTCACGGATTTCCGGCCCGCCAGTCCGTTTTCCTCACCCCACTTTTGCATATTTTGCGCTTGATTCGCTGCATTCATCGTTCTATGTAGCCAAGAATTCCGGCTTGTCATGACTTCTCAATGCAACACTCCTTATCCGTGCTCACCTGGTGCTTGTGTGCGTTGGGTACTAGCATCTTGCTTTCCCCTGCGCAGCAATAATCTGAACACAAACGCGGATCGTAGCACTCCACATCTGTGCTGCCCAAAAGGCTTGGATCCTCCTTGCGCTTCCATCTGGTGTCGTGGGAAGTGGTGTACTGACTGCAGTGCAAAGGCACACAGCACTCTTCATTTGTGCTGCCTTGCCACTTGTAGGTATTCGTGTCCACCTTCTTGTACCACTGTGTGCCCTTGCCTGTCTTGTTGCGGTCTGTGTCGCAAACAAACTCACCACAGAAAATTGGGTCACAGCACTGCTCAAAAGTGCTGCCTTGCAAGGTGCCATCATTCGGTTTCGGCTTCCATTGGGTTGCCGGGTCACATGTCTCAGGCAAACAAATCAGCTTGTCGCAGCATTCATCGTCAGACCAACCTTTTCGGTCTGTATTCGTCATGGCATTCTGCTCAGCTCTGTGTACCCATTTGGTTGGATCGCTGCACTTCCAATCCTTGCAACTTTTTGTCTCACAACATTCCTCGTCAGTGCTGCCCAGACGCTTTCCTGGATTCACCAGTAGCCTAACAGAGTCTTTGCTGCACTTGTATTTGTCACATGTGAGCTTCTGGCAGCACTGCTCTTTAGTGCTTCCCACCAAAGCACCCGGCTTTGGCTTCCATTTGGTGTTGTTTGGGCAAATGAAGGTGTCGCACTTCAAAACGTCACAGCATGTTCCACGATCGCTGCCCCTCAAATTCTCGGCGCCTGGGCGCAAACCGTATGTATCATTCGGTGCACAAACGAAGTCTTTGCAGAAGAGAGGCTCGCAGCATTCAGCATCGGTACTTCCCTTCCTTGCCACACCAGGCGATTCCCAAATATCCAATTTCTTGGATTTTCCAGGCTCCCGGCAGGTGTGCGTTGCACACAATCTCTCCTCACAGCACTCTTCTGGAGTACTGCCAAGGAGTCCAACATCACCCTTGTCTACCCACTTGGTCTCATTGACGCACAAATTCTCAGGGCAGAAGATTGGGATGCAACATGTTTCAAAATTGTAGCCAGGCTTCCCCTTGGTGAAGTTCCTTTGTCATCCAAGGATAATGCTCAAACAATCTCAAACAGCATCACAGAATGAATCAACGAAGTGATGTGTAAAACAGCAAATTTCACTTCATGTTCCAGGAGCTTAGTGTCAAAAGGCCATCGCCTTACGTAGCCACGTTTTGTCCGTTTATTTGTGTTGTCATATAAGAGTATAAATGGTTTGCTGAAAGTTTGAGAACATCACAGAATGATCAGAATGTCACGTCAGAGAAAAGGTAGACCCTGATTTTGGATGGTGTCCAGTGTCCATATGTGTCCATGTGCCTGAGAGAGTTTGAATTTGGATGCATGCAATCGTGTGAACAAACATGCTAGCAAGAAATAGCAAAAAATTGAAGCTGTAGCTGAGCTTCTCGTGAGGCGTGTACTTCCCCTCAGGGCATTTCACACCTTCGTCTTGACAAAGCCGCTTGTCGCAACACCGAGCCTCTGAATGGCCAAAGACATTCGCGCCCTTCAGCTTGGAATGTGCAGGGCATTGGTAGTTATCACATGACCTGCAGGACTCCAGGACAAGCGTCTGGTATGGTCCGGTATGGCCATCTCAACGCAAGTGTGGGATTTGCAATCTTTACAGCAAAAAGATGCAAAAAGTAAGCTGGGAAAAAAACGATAAAACCACACTACTTTTGAGTGCTCACTGACTTGAGTCACCTGCTACATTGCTGCTATATCCGTTCACCTGTTGCCCGTTCTGTATCGTTCTGTATCGTTCTGTTACGTTCTGTTACGTTCTGTTTTCCAAAATGTTCGAAGGAATACTTTGACCACCTCAAGCGCCCTAAGGTCCAGGAATGTCCAGGATGATACGAGAGTAGCATGCTGTAACCATGCTGCGACCTTCCAATCTCAGGCAAGTGGCTGTGGGGTAAGACAAATGTCCGTCATGTAGACCTGCCCTGTTGTCCAATTGCCAGGTGCCAGATACCTCAGACTGTGGAAATTGGACTGGGCAAGGAACTCTGCACATGGATTTCGACGAATTTCAGCTCAGTTTGGGACTATCAGACTGGGCTTTGTTTAGTCAAGTTTAGTATAGTTTAGTCAAGTTTAGTCTGTTGAGCTCAGGTGCTGAAACTCGAGTTTGTCTGCAGCCTGCCCGACAGGTCCTGCAACTTCCTTCACCCAGCCTTGGGCACCTGCTGGCACCTTGATAGTGAGAAAGCCATCCTTTGACCCAGCAAAACCGATGGTGCGGTCAACCGTGCTGTCGGAATAGAAGGTCGCCTTGAGAACCCAGTGCATGCCGATCTTCCACTCTGGATCTTTGATCATCCTCACAAAAAGGGACAAACGCTAAGCTCACATGCTCTTCCACTCTGGGTCTTTGATCAGAGCTCAAAGACTACATACTCTGGCAAACGCTGAAGCTCGAAGAAGCATGAGTTAAACACAGGAGAGGCAGCGACTCAGCATGAACGAAACTAATAATAAAAACAAGGCAAAACATGCAAAACACTCAACAACGCGAGTGAATGGGACTCAGAGATGAATGAGAGATGAGGATATCTACGGCCAGTTGGCCGTTGAGATTTGAAATCTGACTGAGGGTCGCTTCGCGAAGCTTCTCCGTGTCCCAGATTGCGTCCAAGGGATTAAGGCCCTGCTCCTGCACTCTTGAAAAGCGAATCACAGTGCTTTGGGCTTGATGGTGACCACGACGTGAACGCTAGTATTGATAGATGACCAACAGGGGGGGGCAAAGGGTATGGGGCAAAGTAGGATTTGCTGAGATTGCATCTATATAGCTCAACTAGTTAAGATATAATATATCAAAGATATTCAAACATGATCATTTGAGACAAATTGAATCTCATTGAGGCTCGTTGAGGCTCATCGAGTCTCATTGATACTCATTGGGTCTCAGAGGTTTGAAACCATTGGGGTTGCGCACAACGAGCCACCTTTTTGGGCTCAAAACTGATGTCCTGAACTGGTGGATGGCTGATTCCGAAGCCAAGCTGCAAATTCGTGAGTGGTGGGGATAATGACCGATAGGTTTTAAGATCACATCACTTACTATAGTTGCCACTAGCTTAAGTCAACAAAATCAGTTTTTCCCACTGGTCAGTTACTGCTACTTCAAGTGGGCGCCAAAGAACTTCCGTGTCACTGTGGAGTTTGTTCAGAAAGAGCGTATCTTGACTTTTTCATACATCACTTTTAATTTCAATTGTGTCATTTTTTTTCGGGAGCAAAAATCTTATTTGAACCAATCTCAGAATCTCAGGTATGGGTGCGGCCCAGAGAACCCGGTCCCAACGGTGGTATGAGAAAGAGAAAGATCCAGCCAAAACAATCGAGAGCAAACTAGATGCCCTTGAGGCTGTTTTTGAATTTGTGGCAATGACCTACAAGAGGTTCTGGAAAGAAGAACCTGACTTTGATTCGTCTTACACCCCTCCTGCCCGGTCAGACCTCAAAGAGGCATTGGCTAAGATGGAGGAACGATTGGCGTGAAGCGCAGTGGAAAGAAGGGGTGGGTTCATGAGCCAGCCACCGCTGACATTTAATTCATTCATAGCACTTAACATCCCAACTCATGTGTTTGTGATCATTGGTCGTTTATGGTGATCGAATGGTCGTGTTTTCTCAATTCAACTCAACCGTATGTTGCTGAGGTGGTTTTTAGTAAAACTAACTTTGACCCCTACCACTTGACCCCTACCTACTGATCCCCTATCAAGTATCGCTAGTGCCGCTAGTTACAAAACAAAAAGTTTTCTCTCAAAAGATTCAGCAAAACCTCGCTCCTTGCTGATATTGTAACTAGTGGCCAGTGATGAGGGGAAACGGTTTTCCAAATTGTTCGGGCAGGGGTTCTTCTCTCTTCGCATAGACATAGCCTCAGCTCACTGCTTCCAAAGGCGGCACTGAAGACTGCAGTTACTGTTCAGATTCAAAGCGATGAAAATTGCATCGGGAAAACCGATCTCAGGAAGATTCTGCGGGACTGAATAAAGCCAACTGGAGCCCAGGTACCATGACTTTTGCTGCATTGACCCAGGCTGGCAGAAGTGCCAGCCCAAGAAACTTCATGGTGGCGGAAGGGCACGCTTTGCCAAGCATGCGCGTGCCACTTGTCTTCGAAGCGGGGTTGAGCCCAAAAAGAGATAGTGAAGCCATGCATGATTGGAATGAAAATACAGCAATAATGTCAAACAAGAATCATTACCAGCAAGCGTTGCCACATGATGCATGTGAGCATATGTGAGCTGCATAAGTAGCTCCGGTTTGCATTACAAGGATTATCAAGGATTGAGCCTGCTAGTCTTAACGAACCTGAGATTTGATATACATTGATATACCAAAACTCTTATTAATTTGCAGCATTTTGCAGCATTTGCACTGAGGATCAACCAGACCCACCCTGCCAACCACGAGCAAAGTGACTGTCGCAACTCTGCATCGTTCCACCGATCCGCTTCTGGACCCAGAGCTGGACCATTGAAACTGGGGAACTCCTTGGCAGTGCAAATAGCAATCTAACATAATCTAACAAATGTTTCAAACATGGTCAAATACATTCAAATACATGCCAGTTCTTCGAGTTCTTTACCTCCATTGTCTGGCAAACAAGATAAACAAGAGGTTTAACGGTTATAACGCTTATCAACGTGAGTACAGTAAATTGTCCAGGACGAGTTGACGTCTAGCACAAACCAACAGGACAAAGTAGACTTTCATCATCACTTCCTCTGTGTTTCCAGCTCTGATGTGCGCTGCAAATTCCGCCACTGTGGCATTTGGCTCCTCCAGGAGACGCTGAATACGTGCGTGCCGTGCGTGCGACTTCCAGCCGTCGTCAGCTGCTTTTCCAGCCTTGCCGCCAAAGTTTGCATCTGCAAGGCCGGAATGTTCATCGAGATTGAACAAGGACATCCATACAAATATTACAAATTCTATACAAAATCTGTACTTCAGCATGCAAGTCAGGTTCTCTCAGTGAAGTGTCTGCCTCTGGTGGCTTTGGTGCAGCCTCTTCAAGGAGAACAAAGGGCTACGACATGCTGCTGCTGATGAATATGAGGATGAGGGCTAAACGACGGCAATATCAATATGAACGGATACGATTTAGGTATCAGCCCTAACACGTTTTCTTTAGGGTATATGGGGGTTAATTGTGTGTAAATTGTGGGTAAATTGTGTAGTTAATTGTGGGTAAATTGTAGGTAAATTGTGGGCTTATTGGGGTAAATTGTGTAGTTAATTGTGGGTAAATTGTGTGTGTGTGTAAATTGTGGGTAAATTGTAGGTAAATTGTGGGTAAATTGTAGGTATCATACGAATATTATGCAAACGAGACTGATGCACGAATAGGAAATAGTTTCTCCGTCGGCAGCTAGGCATGCCTAGTGGAATTCAAAACAAACCGCAGCAGCACTTGCACTTCAACTTCATCTTCAATCTTTCAGTATGGTTGCATATGGTGGCGTAGGGACGGAAAAGTGATGCATGCAAAAACTCCTACGGGATCTGTCTGTCAACAAGCTCGTGCCTGAGAATGCGGAGGGCCACTAGGCCGTGCTGCCTCCTCTGGTGCCACAGGCAGTGGACCAAACTCGCCTGAAGATGAAGGAGTACAGGACTACATCATCTACATCAATATACATCAATAGTATCTTTCTATCTCAGGGATTACAAAGGTGTGAAGGACAATCAATCTAGATCAATCTAGCGTAGAAGTACACAGGATTTTTATTTGCTTGTACTTGTGATAGTTAGTTCAGAACAGCCGACCATTCAAGGCTAGGGCCATGCGAAGTAGGCGCTATACACTGATCTGTCTCTGATCCCGGAAACATTTCAACTTCGTTGGCACCGAGTTCGGGTCTGAGCAAATGACCTGGACGGAGCCCAAAGACTGCTTCTTTCAAACGGAAGATGATGTCAGATCCTCAGAGTTTTTCTTGCGCGTCGGCACTATGGCGAACCATATGGCAAACTTTCAAACACACAATAAGAGATTAACTTGCAGAAAAAATCAGAAAAGCACAGAAGAGCCAACATAGCCAACGCCTTTGCAGCGAAGAGTCTGTCGGCCTCTCTGTTGACCGAATAGGCTGAACTAAAAGTTGACTTAGGGAAGCGCACTCCTCATTACACAGGGAAAATTCAGCACCTGATTCTGAAAGTATGCGAAGGTTTGGGTACTCTTGTACAATTGTAATCCATTGAGTACAACTGAGTCTGCAGTGACAGGACATGACAGGACCCAATCACGAAGGACTACACGAATGCGCTGGGTCCTTTTGAAAAACATATCTGCTTCAGCTGCTCATCGGACATCCTCTCCCATGCGTGATGCAGAACCAACCTTTGCAGTAGCTCCTGCACGAGGATTCGGATGCATCACTGCTTCATTTGATGTGAACGTGTCCATCCAATACATGTAGGGCTAACATTGGCAAGCCACATTGTCATCTGATGCGGTGTTTTGGGGTTCAAAGTCAAGACTTAAACCAAGAACACCTCAATCCACCTGCATGGATTCCTGTGCACCATGTCTGCTACTTTCCATACCTCTGTATAATTACTTCCCGTACATTACTGAGTAATTAATCATCAATCATCACTCAATATCCTACTATCCGAGTTGCTATCCGTCCGTCGATCCGCCGACTCCTATTGGAGAATGTTGTCCAGCTGTTCCATGGTCCGTCCCTCTGTCTCGTTAGCAATGTGTGTGCAATGCTGCATACAGCTACAAGCAGCTATATATCCGATGTATCCCCTTGTTGCTAAATACCACCCTGGACGTGCCTCTGGTTTTCTACAGTTTTTTTTCTTTAGTGCAGGTTTCTAACACAATTCAGTTCAGCTGTGTCTAGGGTGTGTGTATGTGTGTGTCTCTGTGTGGTTTTCTGTCCTTGAGGGAGGCCTTCTCTGTGTTGATTCTCTGCATCTTGCACTCTTGCCTCGCAACATCAAATGCAATAGATGCAATGAAGGAAAAGGAACAAGTGAGAAAGAACGCAAAGTTCGTCACTACCAGTGCTTCCATGGCACATGACTTGTTGAAAAGAGGCGCGGCTCCACTTCTGCTCGAAGTTCATCATCTCTCTCCTGCCAGCATTGTCACTGGGAGATCACGAAACGGTCCAAGGTTGGACGTTCTGTTGAACGGTTTGCAAGCTGATAAAAAACCCAAACGTTTTATAATTTAGAATATAATGATACACGCTAGATGTTGCTAGCTGAAATCGGCTGAGCCACCTCTGCTCTTCACTTTGTCCCAAAACCTCAACAGCACACCAATCTGTTCAGCTCAGCTAGCCGCAAAAAAATTATATATATAGGTCTGTTAGGTAAAACGTTTGAGCTCATTCGAACCCAACACGTCCACACACTTGCTCAGAACGAAGTTTGATAGGTAAAAGTATGGAGACAATATCAGAGAAGAATCTCGAAGTTTGTATTTCCACGTCCTTGCTAGATGCAAATCGTTCCCTCCCTGACATCAAGTTTGGTTTTTAAAATTGTTTGAAAACGACATGCCGGTTCTTGGCTTAGCCGGTTGCCATTGATGAAAAACTGGAAAATTGCAGGTACGTTTTCACAGGAACATTGCAGCGTCTTCGTTGGCCGCTGACTGCAATGTTCCTCAGCGGCCCCCTGCTTGAAATGAAATGAGATAATGCCAACAAAAATCAGGGAAGTTTAAGTCTTTTCCCGTGCCAGAAGAAAAATGCAGAAGGACCAGGTAAAATCGGAAGTAGAAGTTTTACATTTTACATCTTTTAAGATGGTTCACACACACACACACACCCTCCCGCGGGAGGGTGCGAAATTTAAGGTCCGGGCAATGAGATGAAAATGAAATTGAAAGGAAATGAAGGTGGGGTGACGATGAAAATGAGATGAACGTTACTTAACCAGGACGCGAAGAAGGGAACGCAACAGAAGAGGGAAGGAGCAAACACCAACACAGGAAACCTGGCCCAAAGCGGGCAAACCCTAGAAAAGCGGAGGCCGACGGACACAGAACAAGACCAGCGGAGGGGGGGGAGGACGGAAGCGCCTAAACCAACCTACCACAGCGAAACCTACGCCTACCTAAGCGCGCGCAGAACCCAACCTACCTGAAGAGAGGAGAACACATGAAATAGGGGACCCATGGACCAGTTAATGAAATGATGCATCCATATGAAGTGCAATTGTCGTGATAAGGCTCAAGGCCCTCGGTATTCAAGTCAACCCCATGGACAGCTTACGTCGTCAACCCTTGAATTACGTGCACAATTGAACCTCACCAGAGTAACCAAAAGAAAGTCACTGTAAAGCATGTCCTATTGCCTGGCCGAAACATGACATGTGACAAATGAAATCAGTCTGTCTCTCAAGCATTGCAGAAAAAAGGAGATTGTTGTCGCGGCTTCAGTCTACAAACCCTTGGAAGTCTGACAAAAATGGAGAGGCCAGTCACAGCGGCAGACTGTTTAACCAAAAGACGACCGACAGAGTGAAACCTGAAATGTGAACGGCTGTTTCACTTTACTTACTTACTTAAAACGAATTAGTAAATTAAAATGTGTAAATTCAGACATCGGGTCGTTGCATAGAAAAGCATGCCCCGAAGGATTCATGCCACCTTGACGAATCCAGCATGAACCACACACTTGCTCAGAACAATCCTTGCGAATTCTGATGTGGAATGCATCTTACGTGCAAAAACACTCCATTAAACCTGACAGGAAAAGTATGGAGACAATATCAGAGAAGAATCTCGAAGTTTGTATTTCCACGTCCTTGCTAGATGCAAATCGTTCCCTCCCTGACATCAAGTTTGGTTTTAAAATTGTTTGAAAACGACATGCCGGTTCTTGGCTTAGCCGGTTGCCATTGACGAAAAACTGGAAAATTGCAGGTACGTTTTCACAGGAACATTGCAGCGTCTTCGTTGGCCGCTGACTGCAATGTTCCCAAGCGGCCCCCTGCTTGAAATGAAATGAGATAATGCCAACAAAAATCAGGGAAGTTTAAGTCTTTTCCCGTGCCAGAAGAAAAATGAAGAAGGACCAGGTAAAATCGGAAGTAGAAGTTTTACATCTTTTCAGATGGTTCACACACACCCCCACTACAATGAATAATAAATATCCTGCACAGAATAGCATGTGTACCCCAAATGGTTATACTATATGCATGTGTACATACATATACATCTATCATCTATTGTAATCCTTCGACAAAGCATATTTATACATTACAGTAAATTCGAAGTTATATATGTGTGTGTGAAATCTGCGCAACATCTATATCCGTTGCACAAGGAAACACGTCACATACTGTGGTCAAGGAGCCGTGTGAAGCTGGCTTTGGGCTGCCCCTTTTTCTGCAGCCTTCGCTTCTTCGTTTCTGCTTTTTGAGTGAGGTTCGCCCTTTTCTGACGTCCTTGCATGCGATGCATGTTGTTTTTGGTTTCTTTGTTCGTCCTTTGCTTCTGTTGTGCTCGACCTTGAAGCTGCCTCGTCCGTGGCAGGCTTTTGCAGAAACACCCTCGACGACTCGACATAGTCTATCTTGCCAGCATTTGCAAGGATGGTACTGGTGATCTCAGGACTGCCTTCTGCTTACTGCATTCAAGTGCCTGCCTCATTCAACAGCTCCAGGATCTTGATATGGCCTACTCGACACAGCGGCTGGCGGTACTGACATGTGGTTTGGCTGCAATATGCTGCTTTTCAGCATGCCAACCTGGCCTTGTCTGGTCGCCAAGCTTTGTGGCGTTGCCCCAAAGGAATTAGCTTGAGATGGACTCGCACGGAATTCCAAGAGCATCCGGCAAATTGAAAGGTCTTAGTTTCTCAGCAGTGACAGTCCCCAAGTCAAGCTTAAAGCATTGGCCAAAAAAACTGGCTCAAATTCTATTATTCATCTTCTTGTCAAAAGCCTGCTGCTAGTCTCTGCGCCATAGGATCCCCATATATTGTGCAACTGTATTTGCATGTGTGCGTGTAAATATGTAATTGTTGATGTCGCGCTCAAGCTTCATTGTGAAACACTTGGCACTAGCAAACGCTGTAATCATGCCTAACCCTGGGCACCCTCAGGCACTACGAGTACCTCAATAATTAGAAACACGCACACACACATGTAACGAAATATGCATACACACAGGTGATATACAGAACCATATGCATATACGCACACACACATATGTGTATATATATAATATAGGCGTTGTAGCGTAGAGGGTCCCCATTCCCAATCAAATGTTGTTACAACTCTGCATTCCATTGGGAAGATCAACAAAAGTAATAGGCAATATTAAAATCCCACCCCCGTTAAACTTTACATTCAATTGGGAAGATCAACAAAGGTATTAGGTAATATTAAAATCCCACCCCCGTTAAACTTTACATTCAAGTGGAAAGATCAACAAAGGCATTAGGGAATATTAAAGTCCCACCCCCGTTAAACTTTACATTCGATTGGGAAGATCAACGAAGGTATTAGGGAATATTAAAGTCCCACCCCCGTTAAACTTCTACATTCATTGAAGATCTTCAATAAAGGTTTTATTCTCCCACCCCTGTTAAACTTCTACATTCATTGAAGATCTTCAATAAGGGTTTAATTCTCCCACCCCCGTTAAACTTCTACATTCATTGAAGATCTTCAATAAGGGTTTTAATTCTCCCACCCCCGTTAAACTTCTACATTCATTGAAGATCTTCAATAAGGGTTTAATTCTCCCACCACCCTTAAACTTCTACATTCATTGAAGATCTTCAATAAGGGTTTAATTCTCCCACCCAGTTAAACTTCTACATTCATTGAGGATCTTCAATAAGGGTTTGATGATGATGATGATGATGATGATGATGATGATGATGATGATGATGATGCGTTGCCTGTCGTGGTTGCGGTTCCGGGCAAAGCCCAAGCATTTGCCGTATATATATATATACATACATATATATATGTGTGTGTGTATGTAAGTGTGAACACCATTGCATACATGTACACATGATTAAACATACACTCAAAGATATGTGTCGTAAACACACCCTTCTCTCATCTTCTCTATGCATTTATTTGTTCTGATTTCTCATTGCCCAGCTCTATGCCCAGCTGCTGCCAGCACTCGCTGCATATGCCAAGGCTGTGCGGCCTTGTCTGTCAGCTGCCTTAGGAAATGAAACGAGTGTCAAACGTCTGCAATCCTGTAGCATTCTGTAGCAATGTACTGTATGGATCTGTATGGCCTCCTCTCCATGATAAAATTCATCCAAGGTTCACATGACTCAGCCCTCGCCTCCAAAAAATCGAAATGGCAGGCAACTAGGATTTCATGAATCAATAGAGCCTCACCTTGCTGTACAGTAAGTCATGTCATTCATCATATTCCATGATTCGCAAGGCTCAGTTTGGAAGTGTTCCATCGTGAGGCGAATCTCTACAAGTGGAAGTACTTTGGTAGCAGAATCTCTGCAGAATTACTTCCATCATGGCCTTGCCTCTAGGATCAACTGCATTGGCAGCAGCCCAGGGCCATCCCCAACAGTCGCTGCCAATGCTGTCCTCACCGCCAAGAGTAATGCCGTCCTTAGAAGACAAGGAAAGCTGGGAAAGCCTTCTGAAAATAAGGTGCACGGTGGACAGCCAAGATTGTACCAAACCAAACGCATCCAAATGCTGTAGAAGACTCAGGACAAGCATGAAGTTTGAAGTGCTGGGGAAAGCATGATTTGAATTCCGAACTAGTCATACTGCGAAAATGCATGGATATCCGTGCATTCATTTATATATCGCCCCAATTTGTAGCACGCACGAAGACACACACACACAACCAAACGAACATACATACAGAATAAATGATAAGTGATAATACGTGTGCATATCAGGTGCCCAGGCATGGAAGTAGGAATCAAAAAGTAAGAAGAAAAAAATGCCCACACTAGTAGCAAGAGTATCCTAGACCACTTCTTGATTGCAAGTGTACAAACACACACACACACACATGCATGAACATTTCTCTCACGATGCACCTTCAGCAAGGTAAATGAACCACGCACAAACATACTCAAACAATGTCTTGTCCCATAGTGCCATAGTTAATTAATGAATTACTGGATATGATAAATGAATATAAATGATAATGAATGGATATGAATGGCATGATGTGCAGCAAGGTATCTGAGGGGTTCGATGATGTTTGATCATGTTTGATCCATGCATTGAAATGAAAGTGCTGCGGGGCATCTACTACATATGAGAAGTATTGTATATGCAAAGATAGACATAAAGTATATATATCCATGGAGAGCAATCGCAACTCGTTGGAAGATATTGGAAGCGTAGTGTATTGTAGTGTTGCATGATTGCATATTTTTTTGCATGATGATTGGCACAATATGTATGCGCTGTATGCACTGCATGCACTGTGTGCATTGTATGCACTGTAAGCACTATCAAGTTCAGCATCTCTCCACGCGCATTTGGCTGTTCCAAGGCTGCTCTGAAGAGCAGCAGCGTTGATACCTGGAGCTCCAAGACTTGCAAAGCTAGGCCCAGTATGCCCAGATCCCGACACTCAGTTGAGCTACATCAAAATGCCACAGAAACAGTCAGAAATGTGGTTGCGGTGGGGTTCTACTCCTGAACATTCGTGAGCCACTTTTTCAATCAGTTTCTCATCAAAGAATATCAAAGATAGTTTGAGGCTGACAGTGGTTTCAGAGTTTTAGTTGTTCCATGTTGTTCCTGTTTGGCAGATTCAACATGATTCAGCATGATTCAACACGCAAGTTGGCTGCGAGGCACTGTTGCGACCACCTCGTCGCTCGGGCGAGCCCTCACAGCAAGATGAAGCGCTGTCTGGCCGGAGGAATCCTTGCAAATCAGTGTTTTGAAATTTTGCTGCCGACAGCACTCATCTCACAGCAAGACTTTGAGAGGATTTATGTGACAACCCGTATGTCCCTTTTCTCTGGCTCTCTCTCTCTCTCTACAAAACCGCACTGAAGTCCGACTTCAACTACCTTACCTGTAGCTATCAAATGCTGCCAACACTTCACCATGGTTTGCTACATTCTGCCTAGTGGCCTAGTGGGCTGCTGCAGCCTCCTAGCCCTGTGCGTATGCCTGGGTGCATTGGCATGACAAGCGGCTGCCTGACTCAGCAAGTCCGCAACATTGCCCGAAGATGTGGGGGCACCCAACAGCAGCTTCAAGGTGTCCACGTCCGCATCTTCTGCTACCTTTTGCAGCCCCCATTGATGGTCAAATCGCTTTGCATCACTTGCACGTATGCAATGGTTTACGAATGTTTATGATGAGATGAGATGATGAGATGACATGGCATGGCATGGCATTACATTGCATGACATGAGGTTAGGTGACACAACCTGGCATGATAGGGAGTATCATAATTTTATTCTATATAAAATTATGACAAATTGTGCATATAAAGTACACACAACACACATAAATATATATGTGTGTGTGACGAACTAGACTAAATGAAACGATTCTAAAACATAATATGAGATTCAAATGAGGAATGAGACATGAGACAACATGAAATGGCATGCGATCTATGAGTTGGACATAGCTAGACATTGGTATGCATACCTCTGATACTATCCATTACGATCCTAATTACAGTAACTCACTCCGCCTTGCGCACCACTGCTGGGCTGGGTCCAGCCATCAGACTGCTGCAAAGGCAGCATAGCAACTGTGTCGGGCTCGGGTGGAAACTTTGACGGAAGGAGGCATCGGCTACAACAGATTTCATCGTTTTTGTTCCTTTGACTTGCAGTCCCTCTCCATTCACCGCGCCAAAGCCCCTTCAACAAATTCAAGCTACAATCCTTCACCTAGACTACTTGCTGACAATATTCAAACAATTTCAATCAATTTCAAACATATTCGAACTAGGGATTGTATAATATTGTGAAGAGGTGAGTTGTTCTCGAGCTGCTTGGCTGAAGAATGTGGTTCTTGTCGTCTGCGTGTCTGCGGTCAGCACAGGAAGCTGGAAGCTGCACGGTGCAAGCCACTTGCAATTCACAATTGCATACAATTCTGCAACTATCTTTTTTTGCCATGGCGTCCAGGGAGCAACTGCTAATGACATGCATCTTCTATCCCCTCATCTTCTCTTTCCCTTCTTCAGGGCATCGTCGTGTCAACGCGATGCAGCTTTTTGTTCACACAACGGAGGCAAGTTAGTAGAGGATGCCACCGGCGCTGTGCCCGTATTTCCTGCGCGCTTCGGGCTTGTGGGTGAAGGCGCATATGAATTTCCAGGCCACCCATGGCTAGCTACCCTTTTCTTCAGCGTGCCCTGTCCATCCTACCGGTTATGCTGTGCAAAGGATGGGTGACATCACTTGCCTTTCACTTCCCAACAGCATTCAGTGGTCCCATTAAGGTGTGTGTGAGACAAGTTAGCTAGCATCAGTCATCCCCACCTCTTTTGGTACTTGTGGCCTTTCCGCGCGTAACCCCTGCAAACGGAAGAAACATGAAGCAACCAGGGCAGGCCCAGCATCATAAACACAGATCGTCATCCTTGTGGCGTTTTGTCATCCTCAGACCCTTCCATGACTTTCTGTTCCTTTGCTTTCTCCAGCAAGGACCCTACTTGTAATTAGTTCCTAAACATCTAGTTTGAGACCCACGTGATGTCAATTGTCTGAAAGTTAAACTAGTCTGGATGGTTGGGGAATTGAATGGAACTGAAGGCTTTAAAACATCTGAAATACAAATACAAGGATGTAAAAAATCGCCAGATATGTTCAGCGCCATTTTTTGCAACACTTCGCAGCCTCGGTGCATCCAACCTCGGCTTAGGCTGAGGCGGCCAAATGCAGCCAAAAACAACATTAAGAAACTTACATAAGACATCATAAAACATCATAAAACTAGGTGAAATTACAAGATCATACAACGGCCATAAAACTCTTGCAAGTCCTTGGTTGAGGGAAACGGATGCAGGCATGTCAAACATTGTCAAACTATGTTCATAAACACACCATCGGTTATCAGCCCGTGTGAGACTTCGTGATGAGTGTCTCTGCCTCACAGATCTGTCCAAAACCAGAACAACAAAAACAGCAAGGCTCCGCAAGGCTCCGCAAGGCTCCGCACTTTGTATAGATGCGCGGGTTTGGTGCTTCAGGATCCTGGTGCCGTTAGGGTCGTTAGGGTTGAGGCACGAAAATCTCACTCGAATCAGTGCATGCGCACTGCAACTTGCATTCCGAATGCCATTACACTCCGAGAACCAACCGCCCAAACCACAATTTTAATCAATTTTATACAGTACCAAATGACAAGGACACTCTGTACCCGCTTGTGGCTGCCAAACAAACCTCAACCCCACTGAAAGCAATTGAAGAAAGACTCACAAATTTCAAATTTTTGCTGGCATGTGTCCTTTGGGGGGGGCTCCCAAGACGAATACCGAGCTCGATCCAAACCTAGGTCTTGCAAAGTCATGAATGACACACCCAGGCAGTATCGAAAGCGCAGGTCGCTCACAGTCACCTTTTTTCCGCTTCGCAACTTGTTCCTGAGAGTTATCAGGCCTGCGGGCTGTCACAAGGTCACTATCAGTCACCGACAGGACCCAAACCGTACTATGTCATATCATGTCATATCCCGTTCATGATTCTGTTGGCAATGACTTGAAATTTTAATTTCCTCTCAACTACTTACACTGTCCGAGCTCTCCAAACTTACAAAAACTCACGAAGTCTTATTGCTCTGCGGCTCTGGCTTAGCTTTTTCGTCTCTGGATCCATGATGAAGTAGCGCCTGCGCTTGCCCAGTGTCTAGCATACGTGGATGCGAGAGCAGAGCCCTGAAAAGGTAGCACTATATCATACTATATCTGCGTATCTCAGCAAGTTGCATTCAAACTTGAAAATATGTTCAATCCAGCAATGACAGTACTCTACCATGAAAAAATTAGGCCCAACGGGCAAACAAGCAGAAGGATTCGGAAGGTATGTCTCAAGGACTGAAGATTAACCCGTGTGATAGTGTGTAGCCAGGTCTTTTGTCACATCCTGGGGCTATCTTCGGCCCTGGGCAAGCCTCAGCCACTCTCTGCCAACCCCGAAGTCGAAAAAGGCTTCTGCGGCGGTATATCCTCCAGCCAATTCGAGGCTGCAGTCTCAGCGCTATTTTTTTACCGTGGCCGTTTCCTTCCATTGTTGCGAAGTCGCTCCACCTCCTTACTACATTGCCAAGGTAACCCATCAAGGCACAGTGGTCGTGCATTCAGGCATGCCCAAGCTCTGCAAGCAGCAGTTTTTTTTCCACGTTTCTCTTGTAATCTCTTGTATGATTCGTATGGTGCTCAATTTTTTTTGAGGAAGTTCAAAGATAAAGAGTGCTCAAGGAAGTTTCAAGGTAGCCCACTAGTATTACTGCAAGGAAGTGCGCTGCAAATTTCATGCGAAACCGATCCATACGAGATGCGAGAAAAAAGTGTCGTGCCTTCGTAGTGTATCCGGGAGGCTATGGCAATCGCCTTGACCCAACCGAGACTCAACCCATAAATCTGCCGAAAACACGACAAACCAAGAGCACATAGAGCATTGATGGAGCCACATGGGCCACATGGGCCAACGAATCGGTGGACTATGAATCATTCTATGCCGACACTGAAGTGGTCACCAACCTGTCGCCTCAACATGCCAAGCACTGTGTAAAATACAGTTGTGGACCTAATGAGTGCATTGATACTGACTTGCATGCACGCTCCTCTTAAACCGTTATCTAAGAGTTATCTATTATCTCAATCTCCTATCCTTCAGGACTATGACCCAACCAGGAAAAACATGGAACATCGACAAAAGCCCTTGTTTTGGACCGTTGTGGAATCTGAGCACACTGTTTACTATCGCTATCTATCGCTCCAACCTCACGGGATTGCCGCGCAACGCTCTTCTCAATGACGTCCCCGTAGGATGTGATCTCAGACATTTGATAAGATTGAGGGTGGTGACGAGCATCAAACGTGAACATATTTGAGCCACAACATGCAATATAGGACGCTTTGGGACATGAATTGGGGGTGAACGGTGGAATGAACATGAATGAACATGGATGAAGTGTCTGCATAGGTCTGCATCCATTTGAGATCCACTGGGAGCACATCCTGAAGCAGAAGAAATAAAAGCAAAGCTGCAGAAGACCACAGCAAACACCCTCAACCAGGTGACCAGCACACACAGTGCACGCACATGTACTCACTTGGAAAAGATGCAGAAAGATGCAGAAAGATGCAGAACGAAGCAGAACGATGCAGAACGATGCAGAACGATGCAGAAAAATGCAGAAAGATGCAGAAAGATGCAGAACGATGCAGACAGATGCAGAAGGATGCAGAAGGATGCAGAAGGATGCAGAAGGATGCAGAAGGATGCAGAAAGATGCAGAAAGATGCAGAAGGATGCAGAAAGATGCAGAAAGATGCAGAAAGATGCAGAAAGATGCAGAAGGATGCAGAAAGATGCAGAAAGATGCAGAAAGATGCAGAAAGATGCAGAAAGATGCAGAAAGATGCAGAAAGATGCAGAAAGATGCAGAAAGATGCAGAAGATGCAGGAAGATGCAGAAAGATGCAGAAAGATGCAGAAAGATGCAGGAAGATGCAGGAAGATGCAGAAAGATGCAGAAAGATGCAGAAAGATGCAGAAAGATGCAGAAAGATGCAGGAAGATGCAGGAAGATGCAGAAAGATGCAGAAAGATGCAGAAAGATGCAGAAAGATGCAGGAAGATGCAGGAAGATGCAGAAAGATGCAGAAAGATGCAGAAAGATGCAGAAAGATGCAGAAAGATGCAGAAAGATGCAGAAAGATGCAGAAAGATGCAGGAAGCGCAGAAAAGCTGCAGGACCGATGCAGACGATTGCAAGAACGATGCAGAACGATGCAGAAAGATGCAGAAAGATGCAGAACGATGCAGAAGGATGCAGAACGAGGCAGAACGATGCAGAACGATGCAGAGCGACGCAGAACGATGCAGAACGATGCAGAACGATGCAGAACGATGCAGAGCGATGCAGAACGATGCAGAAAGATGCAGAGCGATGCAGAACGATGCAGAAAGATGCAGAACAATGCAGAACGATGCAGAACGATGCAGAACCATGCAGAACGATGCAGAACGATACAGAACGATGCAGAACGATGCAGAAAGATGCAGAAAGATGCAGAAAGATGCCGACCGATGCAGAACGATGCAGACCGATGCAGACCGATGCAGACCGATGCAGACCGATGCAGACCGATGCAGACAGATGCAGACCGATGCAGAACGATGCAGAAAGATGCAGAAAGATGCAGACCGATGCAGACCGATGCAGACCGATGCAGAGCGATGCAGAAAGATGCAGCAAAATGCAAAAAGATGCAGAAAGATGCAGAAAGATGCAGAAAGATGCAGAAAGATGCAGAAAGATGCAGAAAGATGCAGAAAGATGCAGAAAACTGCAGAAAGATGCAGAACGATGCAGAAAGATGCAGAACGATGCAGAAAGATGCAGAAAGATGCAGAAAGATGCAGAAAGATGCAGAAAGATGCAGAAAGATGCAGAAAAATGCAGAAAGATGCAGAACGATGCAGACCAATGCAGAACGATGCAGAACGATGCAGAACCATGCAGAACCATGCAGAAAGATGCAGAAAGATGCAGAAAATTGCAGAAAGATGCAGAAATTTGCAGAAAGATGTAGAAAGACGCAGAACGATGCAGAACGATGCAGAACGATGCAGAACGATGCAGAACGATGCAGAAAGATGCAGAAAGATGCAGAGAGATGCAGAGAGATGCAGAAAGATGCAGAAAGATGCAGAAAGATGCAGAAAGATGCAGAAAGATGCAGAAAGATGCAGAAAGATGCAGAAAGACGCAGAAAGACGCAGAAAGATGCAGAAAGATGCGGAAAGATGCGGAAAGATGCAGAAAGATGCAGAACGATGCAGAACGATGCAGAAGGATGCAGAAGGATGCAGAAAGATGCAGAAAGATGCAGAAAGATGCAGAAACACGCAGAAACACGCAGAAAGATGCAGAAAGATGCAGAAAGATTGCAGGAAGATGCAGAAAGATGCAGAAAGATGCAGAAAGATGCAGAAAGATGCAGAAAGATGCAGAAAGATGCAGAAAGATGCAGAAAGATGCAGAAAGATGCAGAACGATGCAGAAAGATGCAGAAAGATGCAGAAAGATGCAGGAAGATGCAGGAAGATGCAGAAAGATGCAGAAAGATGCAGAAAGATGCAGAAAGATGCAGGAAGATGCAGGAAGATTGCAGAAAGATGCGGAAAGATGCAGAAAGATGCAGAAAGATGCAGAAAGATGCAGAAAGATGCAGATCGATGCAGATCGGTGCAGATCGATGCAGATCGATGCAGAAAGATGCAGAAAGATGCAGAAAGATGCAGAACGATGCAGAAAGATGCAGAACGATGCAGAAAGATGCAGAAAGATGCAGAAAGATGCAGAAAGATGCAGAAAAATGCAGAACTATGCAGAACGATGCAGAAAGATGCAGAACGATGCAGAGTAGCAGCCTTTCTTTTACTCGTGATCGTAGTGACTATATAGTAATGTTTTTTCATGTTCCTCATTGCAGAAAGATGCAGAAAGATGCAGAAAGATGCAGAAAGATGCAGAAAGATGCAGGAAGATGCAGGAAGATGCAGAAAGATGCAGAAAGATGCAGAAAGATGCAGAAAGATGCAGGAAGATGCAGGAAGATGCAGGAAGATGCAGAAAGATGCAGAAAGATGCAGAAAGATGCAGAAAGATGCAGGAAGATGCAGGAAGATGCAGAAAGATGCAGAAAGATGCAGAAAGATGCAGAAAGATGCAGGAAGATGCAGGAAGATGCAGAAAGATGCAGAAAGATGCAGAAAGATGCAGAAAGATGCAGAAAGATGCAGAAAGATGCAGAAAGATGCAGAAAGATGCAGGAAGATGCAGGAAGATGCAGAAAGATGCAGAAAGATGCAGAAAGATGCAGAAAGATGCAGAAAGATGCAGAAAGATGCAGATCGATGCAGATCGGTGCAGATCGATGCAGATCGATGCAGAAAGATGCAGAAAGCAAACGTGGACGGGCCAATGATCAGAGCAAGGGCAGGGTCAGTCTTGTCATGTCTTGTCATGTCTTGTCATGTCTTGTCGACATCTTCCTACCATTTCCTACCAGTACGCTGCTTAGCCCCTGGCATCGAAAAAGCGCTTCAGCCACCGCTTTTTTGCCTGAGACTTAGGCTATTAATCAATGACATCTACCTTGTGAATCATTTGCATGCATGAAGTTCAAACCATCTGGATAGAAAATATATAGGGCAATTACGGTACGTATTATATATACAGTACAAGAGCCTGCTCGCAAAAATTCTCCAACAAAGGCATATGGCCTATATGCAATCTCGTGCGAAGAAATGTATGAAACAAACAATTCATCGACAAGATTCTGTATGCATCAGTGGACCAAGCTCCAAGCTCCTATGAACATCGGTATGGCATTCATATGCACGCGGCCATACCGCAGTCGCATCTCCTGAGTACGGATGTAGATATGATGCGGAGAGGGGTTCTGCGTGGGATGTGCTGAAAGAAAGGATCAAGTCACAACTGCTTTTCGGCCAGTGTGCAAGATGTTGAACTGCCCTGAACAAGTATGTTTTTTTGTCCCCTCTGGGGCTGGCAACTAGCATCAAAGAGCTAAAACATGCAAAACATGTTGACACGGATGCAGCATGATGCAGCCCAAGCTCCTCTTGAATGTTCATGAGCCTAAGCTTGCTAGTGGTGGCATGGCTGATAAATGCACGAGCATTCGGACTTGTATTGTTTGGTCTTATAGCCATCAAGATGACCAAGGTAGGAAATGAATGGAAATGAATGGAAACATAACCAAATCAATGTCCTCTATCAGTGTCCTCTGCCAAGGCCCTGGCAGAGCCTCCTGGTCTGTGTGACTGAACTCGACATGGACGTCTGGGTCTCGCGGAGGTGGCTGCTTCCAGGGTTCCAGAAAAGGCAGGAAGACCTTGCCATCTTCCTGAGTTCTGAGCCGAGCTCCGAAGGACACATATCGAACATGAATCAAACACGAACCAAACAGGAATCGAGGTAGGGTAGAACCCTTTGCTGACAGCATTGCATCCATTGCATTTCTACTGGGCACCATGCCACCACAAAGTACTCGCGGATCCATGCCTGCCACATTAGCCAGAAACCCCTGCCCCCTGAGAATTGCAATAAAAAGGAGAAATCCTACAATGCATCTCCGAAAGCAACGCCAATACGAATTCCACTCCAGGAGAGTACCAGTTGGGGACTGCAATGGCCGCTGCCACATTGGACTTGCATGTAGTTATAAGTTCTATAAGATATTACCACTAGTGCCGCACAAGGCGGCGGCGGAAGTTTCAGAAATAGGAAACCATAGGAAACCTATAGGAGAGCTTGGTTGTTGCGAATCACGGATGGCAGAGTGGTGGTTGGAGTTGTGTTTTTTGGAGTGGTTACAACGGTTGCAGTGGCCACCTGGTCGGTCACCTCGCAGCTGTAGTTGTAGTTGTAGTTGTAGTGTCGTGGAGTTGTAGTTGTGGTGTAGTGTAGTTGCAGTTGCATTTGTGGTGGTGTAATGAGCGTAGTGTAATGTATGTAGGGTAGTGTAGTGCATTCTAGTGTATATGGTGGGGTGTGGTGTGGTGTAGTGTAGTGTAATGGAGTATCGTGTAGTGTAGTGTAGTGTTATGCATTGTAGGTGTAGTTGTAGTTGTAGTTGTTAGTTGTAGTGTTAGTTTAGTGGAGTGTAGTGGAGTGGAGTGTAGTGTAGTGAAGTGTGTAGTGGAGTGTAGTGTAATGTAATTAGTGTAGTGTCGTGTAATGTAGTGTAGTTGTAGTTGTAGTGGTAGTTGTAGTTAGTGTAGCATAGTGTAATGTAATGTAGTGTACTGTAGTGTAGCGTAGTGTAATGTAATTAGTGTAGTGTAATGTAGCGTAGTTGTAGTTGTTAGTGTAGTTGTAGTTGTAGCTGTAGTTTTAGTGTAGCAATGTGTAGCATTGTGTAGTGTAATTGAGTGTAGTGTAGTGAAGTGAGGTGAAGTGGAGCGTAGTGTAATTAGTGTAGTCTAGTGTGGCGCGGTGTAGTGTAATGCAGTTGTCGCTGTAGTTGCAGTTGTAGTCAGTGTAGCATAGTGTAGTGTAAGTAAGTGTAGTGTGGTGTAGTGTATATATAATGTAGTTGTACTTGTAGTGGTAGTAGTAGTTGTAGTTGTAACATTGTAGCGGGGTGGAGTGTAGTGTAGTGGTGGTTGTAGTTGAAACTGCTACAAGATCCTCACGTCTTGCTCACTTTTCACAAGCTGCACAATCCCTTGCGCCTGCCACGCGAAACGACATCCGAACGTCCAAAAGTGGTCCAAACATGTGTTTTAACATTTTGACTTGGAAATTTGCTTCGCGCCACAACGGCGTGCACTTTTTCGACATCTCAACTTCAAAAAATGCTCCGAACCTCGTGTGTTTTGTGCATTTTGACTTGGACATGTGCTTCGCGCCACAACGGCGTGCACTGCACTTTTTCGACATCTCAACTTCCAAAAGTGCTCCGAAGCTGAGGTGTTTTGATGTGTTTTGTGCATTTTGGCTTCGAAATGTGCTTCGCGCCGCAACGGCTTGCAATTTTTCATCTCTCATCTGACCAAATGTCGCCGCACCCGCCGCTTTAGCGAGCGAGCCTACTTTTCGACCCTCCGGAGCCAAAAACCATTGGAAAAACACAGTGAATCGCGACTTTTGTACCTTTTTGCCCACTTGCATCTTCTTTCCTCTGACTCTTTCTCTTCTCTGATCTTCTCTCTTCTTCTCTCCTCTTCTCTGACTCTTCCCACCTCTGCTTTTCCATGTCCATATTGTCGGAAGTTTGACTTCTAAACTTCCTTCGGTTAGTCGAATACTACCAGAATCTGATGTCGTAGTGCGTATACGTCGTACGTTGCCTCCAACCAGAGCGGCGGTTCAACTTGCCGCTCTGCCAGAATGATCTCGAAGCCAATAGCCTCGACAAAATAACACATAAATAATGACATAACAAAAACACATTCAAATAATTTCAGTTCCTCACTTTTGCGTACTATTGCACTGTTTGCAATTACAACATCATACGGCACGTCCCAAAAACAAGGAAGCAGTGGCAACGAATCTGTAGTCATCTGCAATCTATGTCATGGGGCAAATCGCCTCCGTGGACAATTCGGCACGGTCCATGACAGAATCGACTGCAATGTGGCCATCAGTAAACTCCTTGGCCCAGAAATGTGCAGAATCTCCGCATTTGCAAAATGAATATTATACATATATATATAATATATATATATATATCTCTACACACGTAAATTGCAAGCAGTGAGCATGAGATGCATGAGTACCTCTGACTAAAAAACAGAAGACATGAAGTGGCATACAGCGCCAGCAGATCCCAAACAACTAGAGGCATCCACATGGACAAGATTTGCACAGCATCATACAATTACAGCCAAAAGGCTGCCCTACAGGAAATGTATGGAAATGTAATGATGGCTTTATGGCTTTAGTGTGACTGAGTGAACGAGTCAATGAAGGGCGGACTGATTGCAAGAGCTATAGAGAGCCATCGAATGAATCAGTGACGGGTCAAGTGCCACGAGGGACCAAGGTGCACTACGTACGAACATACGTACTGCCAATTGGTTTGCAAAGTCTGGATCGTATTACGGATCATATGTACATATATATATAATTATAAACTATATATAATGATATATCTGGGTAAATTATAATATTTCACTAACCTGAATTAAGGCCATTTTGGGATGATTCCCCTTACTATGATTATAGTGAGGTCGCAGTGAGGTCGTTATAATTGACCCTTCAGCTCAGCCTACACGAGGGCTTATGGATACCCCCACGGCCCTTTTCATTCTATCCGTATGCAAAGGCATCATTGCTCAAGACGGACCTGACTTGGCTTGGGAATCTGGCCAAAGTTTCTTTTGGCGGCGGCAATGCCGCCACAGTTGGGACATCAGCACCCTGAACACAAAGCAGCCCACTAGCAAATGGCAGGCTCAGGATGTTTCAAAAGGTTTCAACTGCGCTCCTAATACTAGGACGGCAACAGCAAGCAGAATAACATAGCGAACACGGAATAACGGCCCCGATGTCTTGCCAGCCTTGTGCCAGTATCTGTCTCGAGCTTCCAGCCTCCACTCCTTGCGTGATTTCTTACAGAAATCAAAGCTACAACTTTGCAAAATGCTAACGTAAACATACGTAAAGTACCAGGTGGGGTCATACACAATTTGCCCAGTCTCCTAGGAGCGAGTCCATGCAAGCCCTCCATTCTCAGCTGAGCTGCTCAGAACCCAAATGATTCCAGTGCCAGTGATTCAAAAGGTTCACATGCAGTGATTCGATATGATTCAATTAAGCAAAGCAAATATGTGACGTATCCGAATTTTCTGAACGTTCCCAGGCTCCTCCACCTCTGCAGTAGGAGCAAGACCAGCCACATAGGCCTGGGCTGATCTTGGTCAGCATGTGGGAGGTGTTGCAGCTGTAGGTTTCGTAGCTTCCTACCCATGTCACACGTACTCATCTCCAACAAGGTATTGACGTGATCCCAGATTGGAGCCATTAAATCATCATATCATATCAATAAATACGAATGAGTCACAACGAATCTCCCCCTACCCATGCCAGTTGCATCCCTTGCTCTGCGAGGCTCCTCTCCAAATCACTCAATTCACGGTTGCACCTTATAAGTGTATAAAATTCATTAAATAATCACCAGTATGTCACCATTGAAGATTCAAGCAGTGTGCTGACATGTGAGTTGCTTCTTTCATTATTTCCATTGAATTCATGAACCATCATGAACCATCATGAACCATCATGAACCATTGTACTTCAACCCTGCTTTGGTCCAAGATGGTCTGGAATGGTCAGCGACATTGCCGAGAGAGGTGCTGCTTCTCGGCCCTCAGCCTTGGCAAGTCGCACGAGTCACCCGGCAGCCAGTTTGATCAGTTTGATGATGGGTTTCCAATCAACTTCTGAAATCATCTAAAAAGTCTAAAATCATCTAAAAATCAAAGATTTCAAAGTCGCCAAATATTATGAATTCACATGACCTTCGCATTAAAGAGAGAATTTAGTGGAATTTCGCGGGGCCGTGGCTGTCAGCTCGTATTCCTCATCCTTCAGCAGCTCCGGTGGCCTGGCAAATCTTTTCAGCGGAGATCTCTCGTGATCTCTAAACATGTTTGGAGGATCTGGAGGAACTTTGGCCGTGGTCATGATCAAAAATGTCACCTTTACCATGTCAGGATTTATAATGATATATAGGACATGTTGGACACGTGACATATACGCATCCGTGATCATCTGATGTCATCAGTGCATATCAGGCGTATGTTTGCCTGGGAGAAACCATGAAGTCATATTAAGTCACCCAGATCACCCAGGACATCCCAGGACTTGTCCTTGCGATTCTTGCTTGTTTTGCGATGTTTGTGGGGGTCGTGTTCGACCTTTTACTGCATCCGCTGAATCCACTGCAGGCCTGTAGAGATGCTCCATGAGATCATGCAAATCGGCCTGCCCAGCCAAATGCATCTGTCTCTCTTGCAGCACAACCATGAGATCATGTGCCACTACTGTGCTTGACTATCATGCTTTCTTATGCTTTCTGTAGGTTATCTCATTGATCAACTAAATGAATCTAAATGAAGCATCAAGGAAAATGCAGAGGGGGTTCGGATGAGCTAATGGTCTCTCAAACGGCTCGTTGTGGCTTCAACAAATCAACCGATGTAAACTCGCAAACAACCCCATACACTTAGGTCCATAATAATTATTGGAAGGTCAGTCTGAACTAAGCACAGCTATGCTGGTGGATTGGACGTCCCTAAAGTATCCTAAAGTTGCATGCCCTGTGCCTCGCCATCGTGGTCCATAATGAACTCAGATATCGGATGGATGCACACGCTCCGCCATTGGCTAGGCAAAAAAACAAACAAACCCAAAGTCAACACGCGAGAGAAATGTGACTCTCCACCTATCAAAGTCATGAAGCTTCATGCGGGCAATGATCAGAATCCATCATCTGCAGTTTGCTGTTTTCCAAGTTTCCAGATGCATAGCTTAGCACAGCATCCCATCCTTGGGCACCTGACTGCTGAAGCCTCCACCGCACGGTACATGCGGTAGGAGAATCTGAGCACGTTGCAGAAGGATCGTCTGACTGGTTGTGCCAAACATGTGCTAAACAGCACAGAATGCAAAGGTGATCCACTCCTCCCTAATTCCAAGCTGAGCACTGCCTCTGTAACTCTGCCTGGTTGTGATAATGCATCTCTGAGTAGAGAACAATCGATACTCATCGACCTAGTCGGCTTGTTGACGTGTCAAGAAGCAAGTCCAGTCCATCAATTCTGCCGGATACATAGACATTCCAAACATGTGTGAGAATGACTATAACACCAAGCAAAGGACATCATGTGGCATATCATATCATAATTATAAATATAATATATGCAATATCACACGCATATGTGTATAATTTCATTTATACATTTATAAACTCATTTGTGATCGTCAAGACCGCAAATACTGCAGCACATCGTAGCCCTTCGCAGCTTGGCGACCCCGACCCAAAGATCACCATTCGAAGAGCTCCGGAGTCCCACTTTTGGAAGCCATCGCTTCAGCCTTGGCTGCATAAGACAAGAAGACACAAAACACCAAAAACAGCAACCAAAGGAAAACAAATCGAAGCACAGCAACGTGCAGGGCAGAATGTGCACGCAGAAGTAGATTCAAGTGGATGGTGGAGGCAATAAAGTGATGTCGAGCTGTGTTTAAGTGAATTAAGAGCCAAACGAGTGGGAAGGCTTCAATGCCAGGGCCCGCAGGACGGCCTTCCATTGTATCTTTCGCATGGGCTCAAGAGAAGTTCACAACTGGAAAGTCTCTCTACACAATGGGACTGCCAATTGGCTTCAACATTTTCACGGCGCCACAGGCTTCAAACATCTTCAAACTGGGAAGGGAATGGAGTATGGTCTAACAAAGAAGAACAAATTTCTTGAGTGAG